AAGAGATTCAGGCAGAATCGCAGATGGTGCTTGACAGGCTGACAAAGAAAGATTTCCAGGGATGCTTCCAGGTTTGGCAGCGGCGCTGGGATCGTTGTGTTCACTCCCAGGGGAACTACTTCGAGGGTGATGGATGAATTTAATACCTGAGATAAGTGTACGGGTTTTTACACGCGCAGTCTGGAAACCTTCCGATCGCACCTCGTATCTAAAATAATACAAGGTTTTTGAGAATAACCACAGCAATTATTTGTTATCTAGGCATACAGTATCCCAGTGTCAAAACATTGACCAGACTACACAGCGCAACAACCCAGAAGACAGAAATCTTCATACTCACCACCGTGAAAACCTCAAATCTTACATGTTACTTTAGTTATTGCTATTGAGTTGAAGACTAATTCTTACCTGTTAATAATATGGTAATAATTTCTACTCCATACTTTGAGACAATCACTGTGTCCTGGAGGAATATGTCCTATCACATGGACCTTTTCACCACTGAACTCTGCACTCTGAAGTTCATAGATGAACCACTGAAGTTCCTTTGCTGGATCTGTGCTGTTCAGCAGCAACCACCTGTGAATAGTGTGTTACTTATCAGTGAGCCTTGAATGCCATGACAAGTGTTTTAAACAAACTATGTCCCCATTACATTAGGTCATTAGCTCAATGTTTTACTTTTCTAACTTTCATTCCATAGTTATCCGAAAATAAGACAAGGTTATTGCCCTACAGGACCATGTGACAAAAGCAGGGACATATTATAATTATGAACACAGTTCTGCTTCTACAAAATTATAATTTTTGCTCAGGCCTGTAACAACCTAGCTTTCAGTACTGTACTTACCAGAGTATCAGATAAGATTATTTTTCTAATTTACTATCTAACATACTTATACAGTCAGTTTCAATTTAAACATTTTTTATTTGAAGTAGTTACACATTATTTCTATTTTAACATGGTTATGCAGGCAAAAGTATGAATAAAACAAATTTCTTATTGTAAAAATGTCTGCTCATATCTCATAAAAAGGTAACTTAACAGGTATATGAACATTTTACATGAGTAAGTGTCTATAACTGTTTACCTGGGAGTTGAACCCTTTGAATTGGTGTGGCTATGCATATGCAACCCTCCCCCTCTCACTCTTTAAATCTTTTAAAAACAATTACAAAGTTACAGTGGTCACTTTTTGCATATTAAACCTCTTTATAATTTTATTAACTCAATAACAAATTCTGAACTCTAGCATGAGTCTTGGTGATGGAAACTGTCACTTGTTGAAAAGTTCTATACACCTAATGAAAAAACCAGAACAAAAAAATCAACATTTTTGGGTCACATTTAATAGTTAAGTGCAGGATGTGAGGTTATGCATACCAGTTCTTGTTGTTACAGTAGTTCATGTTGAGGGAGATGATCCTGAAGCCTGGCCGCACTAGGACACTGTAGAAAGCGCCTCGGCGCACAGTATTTGATACTGATGATGGCAACCACTGTCTCCACTGATTGTCCACTTCATCATACAGCCATGAGATAGCAAAGTCATTTTGAATGAATGGTGGAGGAAAGCTGAACACAAACACAAGTATGGTGATGATCACAAGAGAATATTTTCCATTCTTCCTTTATTTCAGAGTAATGTAACCTTTGAAAACTGGCTGTTCCTAATCTCACCACAGTATACAGTGCAAAGTTTTAAATGTTCCACAACAGACACACATATGCTTCACAAAATATATCCCTACATTAGAGACTGACCATATCCTGAAATATAGCCATTATATCTTCCTCGGAAAATGAGACTACCATACTTGTATATAATTTGTAGTTTGTTTTTGACCAAATTATTTATGACCACAAGTCAGATGTAACTACAGTAATTAAATAAATATAAACCTACTGATACATTAGTCATTAGATGTTTGCTAAGCACTTTGGTTAGAAAAAATGAGGTTAACAGTCCTCATTCCAGTTATACCACCACATAGAAACTGCCCGTTTAAGTAAAAAAACGTAGATTTGACATGAAACAGCAACATGCACAAAGCATAACTTAAAATACCCCAGTATTCACAAACCTGTTGACTGGTGCACTCTCATGATTTCCAAGTGCAGGAAATATTGGAATTCCAGGAAAGGTTTTAGTTAGCTGGGCTACAGTTTCTTTCAGTACCATAAGATTCTCTTCCCTCGTCTGGTTCCACACATCATGTGGGGGCAGATCTCCAGTCCACAGGATATAGTCTATATCCTAGATAAAAGAACATGATATGCTACAGTAAGCAGTTTGTTGCTCACCATGAAAGCTGCAACTGATGTTCTCAGAAACAACAGGTAGAAATGAAAGCACTGTTACCAGTATGTTTCTTTCTTAGTTTATTTATTTACTTATTTATTTAGCAGTGCTTTTTAGATACATGCCTTAAACATCATTTAAAAGGATGATGATTCTGAATGCTGAACTGCCAAGGACTTGGAAGGGATCGCCATGGTACTAGCCCAGCAGTTGCCTGGAGGGAATGAAGGAAATCACGTAACTACTGTTCAGTAGTGTTACAAGTGTTGAAGAGATACAAACCAACAGATGGCAGCATTCCTCTGTTCCAGATACTCATACATGAGCATGGTAAATCTATCATTATTCTGAAAATTGTGACCAGCTTTTTGGGATAGGGTGTGTCAAGTGTTGATAGTTATCTGTTTTGGCAACTTCGGGTAACTATCAACACTTAAAGTGGCGTATCCCCAAAAGCCAAAGTTACACATTGAATTTCAGCAACAAAAACTTAAGAGGAAGATTTCTGAAAAACTGCATGAATCACGATAATAATCTATCTGATTTATTCTTGGTTTATTCAATGAATTTTAGGGGTTCACATCATACATAAATTTGAATGACACAATGACTAGTGAATGATGAAATGCAAAGGATGTATTTACTGTCACCTAATTTAAGCATTTTCGTGGAGGGACTGAGAAAAATTATGAGAAGTTCAGTCAAGATAGACAGTCTCTAGGCCAAAATATTATTTAATACAAGCACAAGTAAATTATAGACTGAAGCTTTCAAGCTATTATGTACCTGCTTGTTCAAATACTGGAAAGCACATAATTTGCAAAAGGAAGTGTAATTGATGTGTAACACAAAAAATTACTAATATGATCTTCAGAAAAATACTATTTGAAAGTAGAACTGATTTAAAGAACAACGAAGTTAATAATTACATTTTTAA